TTTCTAAGGAAAATTACGGCTTTATTTAAAGTATGTGAGATCAATCTACCACACCGTTTTAGCACTACTCGTTTGCCAAGTAATCGTAGACCGGATTTTCACGACACATGCTTCTTATATCGAATTCTGGGTTATAATGGATTATTGACATACATGAGAGTGTAGACTTTCTAAGGAAGATTACGGCTTTATTTAAAATATATCAGATTCATCTACCACTCCGTTTTAGCTCTACTCGCTGGCCAAGTAATCGTAGACCGGATTTTCGCGACCCTTGCAACTATGGTGTGGATTTGGGTTATAATGGATCATTAGCATACATGAGTGTGTAGACCTTCTAAGGAAGATTACGGCTTTATTTAAAGTATATGAGATCAATCTACCTGATCGTTTTAACTCAACTCCTTGGCCAAGTAATCGTAGACCGGATTTTCACGCCACACGTATCTTTCGTCGAATTCTTAATTATAATGGATCATTGGCATATATGAGCGTGCATACGTTCTGAGGAATATTGCGGTTTTATTTAAAATATATCACATGAATCTACCACTCCGTTTTAGCTCTACTCGCTGGCCAAGTAATCGTAGACCGGATTTTCACGACACATGCTTCTTATATCGAATTCTGGGTTATAATGGATTATTGGCATACATGAGAGTGTAGACTTTCTAAGGAAGATTACGGCTTTATTTAAAATATATCAGATTCATCTACCACTCCGTTTTAACTCTACTCGCTGGCCAAGTAATCGTAGACCGGATTTTCACGCCACACGCATCTTTCATCGAATTCTGGGTTATAATGGATAATTGGCATACATGAGAGTGTAGACTTTCTAAGGAAAATTACGGCTTTATTTAAAGTATATGAGATCAATCTACCACTCCGTTTTAGCACTACTCGTTTGCCAAGTAATCGTAGACCGGATTTTCACGACACACGCATCTTTCGTTGAATTCTGGATTATAATGGATTATTGGCATACATGAGAGTGTAGACCTTCTAAGGAAGATTACGGCTTTATTTAAAGTATATGAGATCAATCTACCACTCCGTTTTAGCTCTACTCGTTGGCCAAGTAATCGTAGACCGGATTTTCACGACCCTTGCAACTATGGTGTGGATTTGGGTTATAATGGATCATTGGCATACATGAGAGTTTAGACTTTCTAAGGAAGACTACAGCTTTATTTAAAATATATGAGATCAAACTACCTGACCGTTTTAACTCAACACCTCGGCCAAGTAATCGTAGACCGGATTTTCACGCCACACGCATCTTTCGTCGAATTCTGGGTTATAATGGATAATTGGCATACATGAGAGTATAGACCTTCTAAGGAAAATTACGGCTTTATTTAAAGTATATGAGATCAAACTACCTGACCGTTTTAACTCAACACCTCGGCCAAGTAATCGTAGACCGGATTTTCACGCCACACGCATCTTTCGTCGAATTCTGGGTTATAATGGATAATTGGCATATATGAGAGTATAGACCTTCTAAGGAAAATTACGGCTTTATTTAAAGTATATGAGATCAAACTACCTGACCGTTTTAACTCAACACCTCGGCCAAGTAATCGTAGACCGGATTTTCACGCCACACGCATCTTTCGTCGAATTCTGGGTTATAATGGATCATTGGCATACATGAGTGTGTAGACTTTCTAAGGAATATTACGGCTTTATTTAAAATATATCAGATCAATCTACCACTCTATTTTAGCTCTACTCGTTGGCCAAGTAATCGTATACCGGATTTTCACGCCACACGCATCTTTCGTCGAATTCTGGATTATAATGGATTATTGGCATATATGAGAGTGTGGACTTTCTAAGAAAGATTACGGCTTTATTTAAAGTATATGAGATTCATCTACCACTCCGTTTTAGCTCTACTCGTTTGCCAAGTAATCGTAGACCGGATTTTCACGACACATGCTTCTTATATCGAATTCTGGGTTATAATGGATTATTGGCATACATGAGAGTGTAGACTTTCTAAGGAAGATTACGGCTTTATTTAAAGTATATGAGATCAATCTACCACTCCGTTTTAGCTCTACTCGTTTGCCAAGTAATCGTAGACCGGATTTTCACGCCACACGCATCTTTCGTCGAATTCTGGATTATAATGGATCATTGGCATACATGAGTGTGTAGGCCTTCTAAGGAAGATTACGGCTTTATTTAAAGTATATAAGATCAATCTACCACTCCGTTTTAGCTCTACTCGTTTGCCAAGTAATCGTAGACCGGATTTTCACGACACACGCATCTTTCGTCGAATTCTGGATTATAATGGATTATTGGCATACATGAGAGTGTAGACCTTCTAAGGAAGATTACGGCTTTATTTAAAGTATATGAGATCAATCTACCACTCCGTTTTAGCTCTACTCGTTGGCCAAGTAATCGTAGACCGGATTTTCACGACCCTTGCAACTATGGTGTGGATTTGGGTTATAATGGATCATTGGCATACATGAGAGTTTAGACTTTCTAAGGAAGACTACAGCTTTATTTAAAATATATGAGATCAAACTACCTGACCGTTTTAACTCAACACCTCGGCCAAGTAATCGTAGACCGGATTTTCACGCCACACGCATCTTTCGTCGAATTCTGGGTTATAATGGATAATTGGCATATATGAGAGTATAGACCTTCTAAGGAAAATTACGGCTTTATTTAAAGTATATGAGATCAATCTACCACTCTGTTTTAGCTCTACTCGTTGGCCAAGTAATCGTAGACCGGATTTTCACGCCACACGCATCTTTCGTCGAATTCTGGATTATAATGGATCATTGGCATACATGAGTGTGTAGACCTTCTAAGGAAGATTACGGCTTTATTTAAAGTATATAAGATCAATCTACCACTCCGTTTTAGCTCTACTCGTTTGCCAAGTAATCGTAGACCGGATTTTCACGCCACACGCATCTTTCGTCGAATTCTGGATTATAATGGATCATTGGCATACATGAGAGTGTAGACTTTCTAAGGAAGATTACGGCTTTATTTAAAGTATATGAGATCAATCTACCACTCCGTTTTAGCTCTACTCGTTTGCCAAGTAATCGTAGACCGGATTTTCACGACACATGCTTCTTATATCGAATTCTGGGTTATAATGGATTATTGGCATACATGAGAGTGTAGACTTTCTAAGGAAGATTACGGCTTTATTTAAAATATATCAGATTCATCTACCACTCCGTTTTAGCTCTACTCGCTGGCCAAGTAATCGTAGACCGGATTTTCGCGACCCTTGCAACTATGGTGTGGATTTGGGTTATAATGGATAATTGGCATACATGAGCGATTAGACCTTCGCAGGAAGTTTGCGGTTTCATGTTCGGTATATCTGATCAATCTACTTCTTCGTTTTAGCTTTACTTGTTGGTAAAGTAATCGTAGACCGGATTTTCACGACTAAAAACTAAAGCAGAATCCATTGGTAAGTATCTTTTTTATTTCTATAAAATTTTTAATCAATAATGAAATAAATAATGTGTTAATTTTATAATATTAAGGTACTAATAGTTTTTTTATATAAACATTGTAGTTTCTAAAGGTCAAAAAAAAGTAGCATGGACCAAAAAATCAATCAACAACCTGTTAGCATATTTTCCAAATGCTCTTGAACTTGATACCAAGGTACCAAGTGCTGCTTCAATTGAAACATTAATAGGAACAACAGAAGATAAAATTTTGAGGCAAAGAACCGAACCACAGATTAGATCATGGATTCACACACAAAGAAATAGAAAAAAAAACTAAACTAAATGTACCAGAAAGGAATAGTGTACCAAAATGAATATATGGAGGATTTGCCAAATATATTAAGGCTGATAAGATACCATCGATCAAGACATGTGCAAAATTTATTGGTAATTCCCCTTCTAAAGCAAATGTAACTGTTCAGAATATTCAAAATTGGGTTGAGACTGCGATTCGCAGGCAAAGTTTGTAAGATAGTCATTTGATTTGTATTCACATTCATTAAAATTTTCTATTTATCGAAAGTTATCTATTTGATATTGTTAATGTGATTTAACTTTATTTATGTATATGGTATCAAAGTAAGACTTTGATTACTTCTATTTAGAATAATAAATATATGTTATGCAATTTTCTAATTTTCAACGGAAGTACTTGAAAATAAGAAGATATTATGTGTTTTAACAGTTTAATTATGTTTTACACATTTTTGTAAAGATTTTTGCAAATCAAAAAAGAAAAGTAACTATATTTAATAGTTAGTTTAATTTTATATTTTGTTTCTACTATTAAAAAATGATAACTTATCTTTGTTAATCTTAATCTTAACAAAAACTCTATATAAAAAAGCTTAAAATTCTACTCTTATAAATACTTAATTAATGTAACTTTGTGATAAAACTTATGTGTTAAGGACAACAAATGTGATTTAATTATTATTATAAAGTATCCTTAAGCTCAAAGATCAAATCATTCAATTAAAAACAAAGCTATAAGATTCACATCGTACACTATTTTGTCTAATATAGATATAAGAAGTCAAATAAGGTAGTAAATAATAGTCAAATAAAAAGGCGAACTATAAAGATGTATATGATTAGAAGAGTTGAAAAATTGATACTTGAAATTATAGTTCCTATCAATTGCTGGTAATGAGCAAGACCTTGATTACGTAAAAAATTAAAAGCTGAATACTTTAGTTCACTATCTACTTTTAAAAATTTTGTTGCTATAAAATTTATGTACAACATACATATCAAATGTATTATTTTTAAATATAATAAAGTTATTTAAATGATTTTATGAAGCTTTTTTTTAAGTAGTTTTATATAAGCTTAGGAATTAATATTACTATAAAGATAAACATGGTTACAAAAGTACAATATTGATAATTGATAGTTGTATTTTAAAAAATGAAATTATAATTTATTGATAGTAAAATTTATAAATAACAAATAAATATTATAAAATTTTTGCATAACTGCTGATGCTTGCACAAGAATTATAATCTCTGTCAATTGCTGGAGTGAGCAAGCCCTTGGTTACGTAAAAAATTAATAGCTGGATACTTCGGTTCATTATCATCTTTTAGAAATTTTATTACAATATCTTTATCATTATGAGCCATCATTAAGTGTCTAGCAAAATGGGTTATAAATTTTTCACAGTATAAATAGAATGAATATCCTTCTGCTTTTCACTTGGTAGAGTAGTACTGAATAATTGATGAATCAAGCATCTCCAACTTATGCATAAGCAATTTTTTTGTCTAATTTTAAATAATTTGGAAACCCATAAAATTCTTTATATGAATCTAGAATATTGTAATTTAAATACAGAATTTAAATTTTAATTTTTGAATTTATACTACAGTGTAAAATATATATCAATTGAACATATACTATACCATCTGAAAATTTTGAAATTGTAATAGTCTTCAAAAACAAATTCCTTTTTATTGAATTTAGTTTTGTTCGATGATAATAAAATTACTTTCAAAGCATCGGTATTGTAAGAATGTCATCCCTTATTGTAACTGAGTAATTTGATAAAAAAATATTGTAAACATTTTAATAATTATTTACCAAAATATATATGTTTCTATACAAAAAGTTTCTTACAAAGTCCATTGGAGAGACATAGATTTTCATTGGAATTTGTTCTTAAATTGTCACATGAATGCTCCAGTTTTTTGAAGTGTACTGCTTCTGTGAAACAAATTTGAAAAAAATAAACAAAATTACAATTCTGAAAATTTTGAGTACCATGAAATTTTTTTACAACATTTCTAAATTTTTCAAAATTGATTTGAGTAAAAAATATTCATACGTATGTGCATGTATACAAAAATATTTTTACCAGAACTTTGATCGAATAGAGGATATAAAATTTTTGCATAACTGTTGATGCCTCCACAAGGTTTTCTTTGAAAAATAGCCATAACAAGTATTACACTGTACTTTTTCAACTTTGTGCACTGCGTCTTTTCTCACTTTCATAACTGGAATTATAATACCTGTCAATTGCTGGTAGTGAGCAAGCCCTTGGTTACGTAAAAAATTAATAGCTGGATACTTCAGTTCATTATCATCTTTTAGAAATTTTATTACAATATCTTTATTCTTATGAGCCATCATTAAGTGTCTAGCAAAATGAGTTAAAAATTTTTCACAGTATAAACAGAATGAATATCTTTCTATGTTTTTCACTTGGTAGTACTGAATAATTGATGAATTGAGTATCTCCAACTTGACGTATGCATAAGCAATTTTTTTGTCTAATTTTAAATAATTTGAAAACCCATAAAATTCTTCATATGAATCTAGATTATTGTAATTTAAATATACAATCTAAATTTTAAGTTTTTAATTTATACTACAGTGTAAAATAGATATCAATGGAACATATACTATACCATCTGAAAATTTTGAAATTGTAATAGAGTCTTCAAAAACAAATTCCTTTTTATTAAATTTAGTTTTGTTCGGTGATGATAAAATTTCTTTCAAAGCATCAGTATTATAGGAACTGTCATCTCTTATTGTAACTGAGTAATTTGATAAAAAATTATTGTAAACAATTTATAAAAATTTAGAGTACCATGAAATTTTTTTACAATAGTTCTAAATTTTGCAAAATTGATTTGAGTAAAAAATATTCATACTTATGTGCATACATATAAAAATATTCTTACCAGAATTTTGATCAAATAGAGGCAAATTTTCATTTGACTTTGAACTTGAACTTTTATATGATGCTGCAAGTTTACTAGAGTGCCCTGATTCTATTGAACAATCCTCAAGATTAGGGACTGCACCCATACTACCATTGGACAAATTGAAGCTTTGAGAAGTTGAAGTGCCGTTAGATTCTTTATCAATAACTATAGAATATTCCAAACATGATAAAACATCAATTAGAATCTAATTTAATAGTTATACGAAATTGAACATATGGATTATATTTGCTAATATTAAAATTGGATTATATTTGCTAATATTAAAATTGGATTATATTTGCTAATATTAAAATATTGCTAATATTGATAAATTCAAAAAGTTTTAATATCATACTCACCTTGTTTAAAAAAACCATTCTTATTTTTCTCACAAGTCTTGCATTTACATTGTTCATTGTTTGGGCCAAAATAGTTTTTGCCATAATAGCAATACAACTCATCCCCTCTTCTAATATTTTTTATTGTTAAAATTATAATTACACTCTTAGATGTCGTAAAATATATACAATTTGGATCACAATCGTGGTTTACTAAAGCTGCAGTACCCAACATCAATACTGGTGCTTTTATTCTTGAACTCTCTATAACTGAGAAATTTAAATTTCTCTCTGCTAGTATTTGTTCCCGTTGCATACTCATTTGTTTATAAATGCCTGACAAACATCTTATTTTTACGTTGTTGCTTATATTTACTTTAGCTGAAATTTTTAAACCAATTTTTTCATTATATCTATTACACAGCTCAATGCTCACTGGTGATTCAATAGTAATTGTTTCAAGATAAAATCTCATTGGTACATTAACCCATGATCTGTATTTAATATTAAAAGTGTAATATAAATTTTGCTCATTCAGAAAATTTTTCAGTGCATCTTCAACTTCATGTAATTTTTCTTTAGGTAACAACTTTTGTTTGGAGATAATCATTTCATTATTAATCTTATTTTCTAAGATAAAACTTTTCAATGGGAGCATTTTACGTGTTGAACATCCCATGTATGGATCCAAAATAATAAATTTCATTAGATCGTCTATTTCCATCAGCGAAATACAATTTATACCTATTTTTTTAGGTAATTCGCTTGCCAATTGACTTTCAAACATTTGGAAAATTAATACTTTAAAACAAAAATTTGATTGTAAAATAAAAATTTAACAATACTCTAATTACTCTAATTACTCTAAATTGTTTGAGTCGTAATTAGACATTATTATAGATTACATTTGACAGCTTAATTTTAACAATTAATTTTTAAAGCGATAACGAGTTTTTTATCAATAATGTATGAGTAATCTCAGGAGTAACAAAACTCTTTGATCTTTCATAGGTTATACCTCAAACTCCGTTCGTTCCCACAAAATTTTATTTTTATGGATGGAAAAAAAATGTAATAATCTAAGGGTGATTACAGAACGATTCTGACACCTCCAAAAAGACACGTCATTCTGTCACATGCACAGCCATCTTAAGGATATTCAAGAATATTGAAATCCTCGAAGTGACATGAAATAAAAGTATTAATATATTACATTAGTATCTACATATATTGATAACGACTTAATTTGCAGTAATTTTCAAATAGCGACAAATCTATCTATGATATTGGAAGTACTATATATGGAAAAAAAAAATATCCCCAAAGTGACCAATAGCGATATATATATATATATATATATATAATATATAATATATATAATATATATATAATATATATATACATATATATATATATATATAAAATAATACAAATGCGTTATAATTTGAGCATGCGAGAGGAGAAGCTAAAGAAATAGAGGAGAAACAAAAGAAACAGTAACACTGTTATGCGCACGCTAACAGACGTTTACTATCGCTTATACAGGATTTAACTAGCGAAAAACTGTCGGTTTTGTCACAACGGTTGTTTTGTTTACCAATCGACGTTAACGAAAGGTAGGCCTTAAATATACATAAAACAAAGCAAACTCTTTGAGCTGACATATACGCACTGAATAGTATGAATATATGTATATATAAATACATGTATAAACATATACGTGTCTTCATTCGTCTTCAACGTTTTATAACGGGGATTTAGCCCGGTTTACCCCGTAAATATAAAAAAAAGAAATAATAAATGAGGAATATCCGAGAGAAGTCTGAAGCCTTCTGGATTGTCCGTCTTCTCAGGTCTGGTGCTCGTCACGCCGGTGATAGGACGGCCGGATCCGCGCAGATTCGTAGTGTTGGCCAAAAAACGCGAAAGTTGAAGATTCAAAAGGGGGCGTAGGCTTGAAAAAGCGGAACGTTTGAAGAAGGCGGCGGGAAAGAAACTTACGGTGAACAGTATTTTTAATCAGTAAAAGTTAACAAAAGCGGTCGGAAGAAGAGAGAGAGCACGCTGAGAGGGTGGATAGAGAGAGAGAGAGTAAACCAACAAGCCGGTACTTACAATGACGGTGTTCGTCCTCTAGGCACGAGTCGCACGGTTTGCGTTGACGCACACCCACGAATTGTAGGGCACCACGTACACTAACGCGTACGAACACGCGGCGCGGTTTCTACTAACGAAAGTTCCGCGCACAACAAAATCCTGCTCTAGCAGTTACGACCCACGTGCGTAAATCCTCTGCAGGGCCAGGCAACGTCGCAATTCTTCTCTGAATAAGGGCACGCTCACTCCAAGATCGAAGGAAAGGGAGGCGTCTGGTCACAACTGAGGTCCGAGCAAGGAAAGTCGTCGGAATAATGAACTTTGTCCTCTCGCTCGCGAGTCCATACAACAACAACTCTCTAGCGTGTCGCCGGCTCGACTCTCAATTTCGTTCTCATGAGTCAATCAGTGCGCGTGGTCACTCGCTAAGGCGCGACTATCTCTCTCTCTCTCTCCGCGCCTCGCTGTCGCGCACAGAGGTATCCCTGCGTACTCGCATCTCTCTCTCACCTCACTTACCTTATATCCGAACAGAAGGGTAATTACATATTCAGATATAAATTATAAATGAATATAAACATAATAAATTCTTAAATACATAGGATAAGTTCGGAGGAATGTGTTATATTTACATATCGTTACTAGGGAGAGAGAGATATAACGAGTTTGCAATTTCACTCGTTATAGTTTTAATAAAGAAAAAGATCGGCGGAAATAAATAGCGTTGCGTTTATTATATTAGTTCGCTGCATTGCTGAATTGAGAAGCTGTGAAATTTGTGTCCTTTGTTTACTTCGCGCACGCACTCGAGTTCACGAAGTAAATACTGTCATTGATGCGCGCTCGTTTCATGGAATCCGCACGAACTCAAATTTTTAGCCGACGCTTAAGCGAAGGTTGTTTATGTTATTCGAGCCTTGTATCCTAACCTGCGAGTGTGCCTCGACGATGGCTTACGTCCTCTTAAGCGTTGGGCGCCAAATTATGTAACGGGGAACTATCCCGTTGACATGAAAGATAATTGTTAATCGATGATGATATTCGGATAATGCAATTAAGTAATCCGGGCTCGGTTAGGCAGGAACAACTCGGCTCGTCAGGTGTTGTCGGGGCGTCGTGGCTTCAATACCAGGTCGCGGCGCTAGACCCGCATGCCTAAATGTGAAATTAAAAGGTCAAGGAGATAGGCGGAAGGACGAAATAAAGCAGACGCGCGTTAAGAAAACAAGCGTGTTATTTATTAGGACAACGGATAAATAATAACAAAAATAATATAACAGCGGCGAAGCAAAGGAGAGAGAGAGAAGGCAAGAAGCTGAATTGGAAGAGAGAGAGATGAGGTATGCAGCAGTACTTTCAAGTCGCTGCCCCGTGGAAGTCGGCTCGCAGTAGGCGCTCGATTGACAAACTACTATTAACTAACTATAGGCCCGAATAAGCTGGCGCCGGTGGCAGAAGGCCGTCTCTCCACACACTCCACATATTCGTGCTTTTTCAGTTCGATATCTCTCACAACTGCGCACTCTTAATTCACGCTGTCAAGGATTTACAGTCTCAAGGCACGAATATCGTTTTGATAGCTAAACGCGTGCGCTCACGTTGAAGACCAGTCGCCCAATCTGGTGCGCCAAGAAAATCGAGTGCCCTCCTCGCGATGACGTGATGTAATTCGAGAATCAACTTACATATCAAGGATTTCATACAAAAAAGGTTGTTAGAGGATTAAAATTAGAAATAATATAATTTATTATTTCAGAAATTTTTTCTTTTATTAGAATTTTTTTATGTTATTTTCATATTTATCTCCTAGAATTAAAATTCTATCAATTTGACCACCTGAAAATATTCAAACGTTTAATCCTTATAATATTCCGTTATTAAATACAATTATTTTATTATTATCAGAAATCACTCTCACGTGAACTCGTTATTCTATTATTAATACTAATAAAATTAATAGAATTGTGACGTCATAGCAAT